TATGTGTGTTCTGTTAGACTGAGATTATAAAGTAAATATGGATGTTCTGTTAGACTGAGATTATAAAGTAAATATGTGTGTTCTGTTAGACTGAGATTATAAAGTAAATATGGATGTTCTGTTAGACTGTGATTATAAAGTAAATATGGATGTTCTGTTAGACTGAGATTATAAAGTAAACATGTGTGTTCTGTTAGACTGAGATTATAAAGTAAATATTGATGTTCTGTTAGACTGAGATTATAAAGTAAATATTGATGTTCTGTTAAACTGTGATTATAAAGTAAGTATGGATGTTCTGTAAGACTGAGATTATAAAGTAAGTATTGATGTTCTGTTAGACTGAGATTATAAAGTAAATATTGATGTTCTGTTAGACTGAGATTATAAAGTAAACGTGTGTTCTGTTAGACTGAGATTATAAAGTAAATATGGATGTTCTGTTAGACTGAGATTATAAAGTAAACGTGTGTTCTGTTAGACTGAGATTATAAAGTAAACGTGTGTTCTGTTAGACTGAGATTATAAACTAAATATGGATGTTTTATTATATTTTCCTGTGAAATGCGTGCTGTATTTTGTTAATCATCATTTTTAATCGTTTCTAAAGATTAAAGTCTGTGATCTAAATATATCTCTTCCGTCGTCCATTCTTCTATCTTTCTTATTATCAGTTCATAAATCTTCCTGTTTATCTGACTATCTTAATCTTCACCTTTATTCTTACATATTTTTAAATCACTATAATTCTGTCTGTTAATGTTTTAGTAATATAACTGGATACTCTTGTTTTTTCTTGACCTCTCTATTTGGAACCGTGATAACACAGTTATCTAGGAACCGTTGGCCAACTTCAGGATCCTGTAAGTAAAACTCTTATGTATCCACGACCAAAGAATCGTTCTCATCCAATCTTCAGTACATTTAAGTCCAATTACTTCGCTAACTTGTGGATATCTTGCTGTAAGGCAGCGATGCAGTGTTGTCATACAATGTTATCTGTTTCTGTACGGCAGTCGGGTAAGTTTCAGAAAGTCCAAATTGACCTTTATATATATATATATACAAACTGATGTACCCGTCCTTTTGTCCGGGTTATGAACTTAAAAAATGTGTGGGTATATACTACGATAAATAACACAAAAATCTTAACTTTCACACAATGTATTTATAACATAAAATATTATTACAGTATTCACTATTACCTCACCAAAAGTTTTCTATAAGCTTTAAAAACTATATATACTTAAAATATGGTATACACTGTGTGATAGTGAGGGTGACTTTGTAGGAAGAGGTAGCGACAAAAATAGTGCCGGTAGAGGGAGCTTTTTTGTTACCCGCTTTCAACACCTAGCTCTTGATGTCCTTCCACAATGTTTCATGTGTTAAATAATTGACGGTCATTGGTTGCAGAAGTGTCTTACGGGCCGAAGTTGAAAGGTCACGGATAAAAGTAAGAAGTTGGTATAACTCAAGAAATGGCTCTTCATATCAGCCTTATGGTAGCTGATGGAGTAGAAACTTCAGCTGAGTTTATGTATTATTGCAATAGTAGCGGTCATTTTTTCATTGCATTTCTCCATACTGAGTGTAGTGCACACTTTGAAATATATGACTTTTCTATGCCCTCCCCCACACTTTGTATATGTTGTGTTATAGAATTTGTATGTGTGTGTAAGGACGTGGAGCCATTTAGGAATGTAGTTAAGGTTAACTTATGTATAATAAATGTTCAATAACAACAATGGAGGGGTTGTCAACCCCCATTAACATGCCCCTTGTCCCAAACTATCATCCCACAAAGTTTGGTTGAGAATGACGTAGCCACCTGGGAATAGTTAGATAACGTACATACAGAAATACACATAATTTTTTGTGCTTTTTATATATAAAGAAATATAAATAGATTCTTTATAGTCCCCTGGTGACATACCGCTAAGTTTACGGACTTACAACACTAAAATACGGAGTTGAGTTTGATTCCCCTCGGTGGACCCGACAGAGAACCCAATGTTGCTTTAGTCTGAAAGAAACAAACAAGCGATACATAGCAAACTGTTTTTTGGCGTAATTTAATACGTAAAAAAATTAGCCCCAATCCAATTCCAGCATTAATATTTGATCAAAAAGGCAAGGTATATGCTGAACAAGTTAATTTCATTGTAACCATAGTCAACTTTTCAGTACATAAATAACAACAACTCTGATCAGGCTTTGATTTACCACGTCCTTTACATTTGGCTTCAAAAATCGTCACAGTTAACCAATCAGCAATAACCTTCCTTAGCAACAAACCAATCAACAATAACCTTCAATAGCAACAAACCAATCAACAATAACCTTCAATAGCAACTAACCAATCAACTGTAACCTTCCTCATCAATTAACCAATTAACAGTAACATTCTTCATCAAATAACCAATCAACTGTAATCTTCCTCATCAACTAGCCAATTAACAGTAACCTTCCTCATCAACGTTCATTCTGTTATTCGCATAAGGTAAGTAAAAATGTTTAACATTGCAGATACATTTTAGAAAACAGAGCAGAAGAAAAAATACCAAATTGATTTATAAAATCTGTTTCTTTTCTTCAAGGTGTCAGGAAGTGAATAACTGTTATTTTGCTACTCTAATATTTACGTGGTGGGCTGCGCTACGATTTCTTTTTGAAGTCAAAGAATTGTAGCGTATATACATATATATATGCGTAGTCTGTATGGTGGTAAATTTGTTTGCTTGTTTTTCCAACAGATGAAAACAACTGTCCACGAACTTGGGATGGTTGGCAGTGTTGGCCAGACACAGCAGCTGGTGAAGTAGCTTTGGTTCGCTGTCCTGATCACATTTATTTCAAAAATGATCCTCCTCAGTGTCCACGTAAGTAGGCACCACATGAAAATAATAAGTTATGTACAATAATAATTTAGTGAGCAAAAGTAGTACGTAAGCAACAAAGACATTTAGACTCACTGAAAAAAAAAATGGCCGCGATCACATGACAACAATTTTGGTATCTACAACAGACCATTGTACCATTGTTCCTCACAATATTTTGGCATCAGTGTTGGTGTCCGCAAACACATGTCAACTTTGTTGGTTCCTACGAGATCCGTATTGTTGTTCTCAACTACATGACTTCTGGGTCAATAGACAAATAACATTCGTTTGTGCAAGGTGTCGCGTTGGTATCCACAACAACATGGGAGCTGTACTGACATAAATAAACAACTATAAGACAACGTTTAGGTATCACATCTGCATCCACAAGCATGCGATCACACTTTTGATGTACACAACCACATGACAGCTGTGTCTGTTGATGTTCGTAACTTTATGACATCTCTATTAGCATCCATTGTCACGAGATAATAGTGTTGATTTCTACAATCACGTAAGAATTGTGTCAGTGTTTTATTAGTGTCCATAACAACATGTCGACTACACTATGTATTGTTGATAAACACAGTCACTTGATAATTTAGTTAGTGTCGTTTTGGTGTTAACAACCACATAAAAAAGTGTGTTGTTATCGTGAAAGCATCGATCGCAACAAAACAGTATCGTTGAAATCACTTCCAACTTTTGGACACAACGATGACTTTGGTGCCGAACTGAATTTTCTACTGATGTAACTTCAATACATTCAGTACCTCCCAGCTGCTTCATGACTTATCAGGCAAAAATTGGGGGGTCGATCCTTATTATGGGATATCACAGATATCCCATTGTGCAGCTTTGCACTTAACAACAAACAATGTGCATTTATATTTCATAGTAAAATATTTCTTGATGCATTTGAATATAACAGTACGATGTCATTATTCATTAGTGAATGTTATATTTCACTACAGTGTATTAACTGATCAATTTGTTTAACGTATAAGTGCAATGTCTTCACTAATCAATGTGGTTAATATTTTAGTACAATGTATTTACCAATCGGGATCGAAACCTGGCGCCGAATACGCTCACCCTTTTCAAGCCTGGGGCATTTTAATGTGACGGTCAATAACACTATTTGTTGAAGATGGTGTGCTGCCACAAGCTGTCTTCCCTGTGGTCACAGTTCATAATTAGGGACAACGGTAGATAGCATGGTAATAGTTTTGTCATCAAAAAAGCTGTCGATGTTTCAATGTGGTTCCTTTACTTACCATTAACCCTAATGGGGAAACCGAAGTGCCTTGACGACCAGTTCCACTACCGTAACTAATGTAAAAAGATTTCATTATAACGTGAGAGCTGAGTGTTCAGTCCGTTCGTTCTTGCTCAAGTCTGGTTGAAAGGTTTATGTCCCTCAGGAGCCAAGGAGTGTCTTTATATTACAATTTGTTGAATATTAAGAGTAAGTTCAATTCGGAAACTCCCAAATAGGGTGTTTTTGGACGTTTCTTTTTGAGACTTGTTTTCGTTCGTTAATTGATAAATTTTAGGTGAAATACAGCATCCTCAAGTCTTCATACTAGCTAGTACTAAGGTCTACCGCTGGGAGTAAATTTAGTATATATCAATAAAGCCACATTCTCAGCATCATTAATTAAACAATTGCCAACCTTTTATGCTTCTGCTATCACCTTTTTATGTTTAGCTTTCAATTGAGATACGAATGATTTCACCTGCAATTCGGTAGGGAAGATCGAAGAATCACGATAGTCAGCAGTAGGATGAGCAGACAGGAACACTTGGAAAGCAGCTACAGGCATAATGTTGTTCTCGGCTTGCTGCACAATATCTACTAAGGTGGCTCTAAACGGTTCCTGAACACCTCTACGCGTAATTTGGAGACTTTC